CCAAAATAAACCACTTTTTATCATGTGTGCTGCCAGTACCATAAAGCACATTAAGAGACACAAAGTAGTGAGTGTCTCTCCACTGCAATTCAGATGCAGGTGCCAGGATGTTCCTTCTACTGAATGTGCTCCAATAAAATTCTGTCTGTATTAGACAAATCCTTTACTAGGAGTTACCATATTAACCCGGATGCGAAGGGGATGAACCTCCGTTTCATTCATTTTGTGCACACTGTCACACCGCTTGATGCCAGGGTCTTACCCACTCAGTATAATGGCTTTAATTCAAAATGAAAAGCAAGTGGTGTGAAAGGCCAAAACATTAGGATATATTGCACTGGCACAGAAAATGACACCCTTTAACATATTTTGCTATAATTCTTAACTACATTTTATTTTTAAAGGAGCACCTCAATGGAATGTGAGTATGAAAACAAATCTTTTCCATTTTAAAACATTGAACCTTCTATAATTTACTGTCAATTAAACTGTGGGATTGTTTTTGCATTTTCAACTATTTAAATATTACTTATACTCTGCCTCTTCTGCCACTTGAGACACCTGAGAAAGTATTTCTAAAACTGAAAGAACTGTAGCTCTTAAAAAGAAAGGGGGAAAGCAGAAAAAACAGCAGGTTTTTTTTTTATCAACCCCACTCAAGGATGAATTATTTTGAAGAATAATTGGAGCTTACATTTCTTTAAGAAATTCAACAGAGAAGCATTGCTGCATTTCTCTTCAGAGATGTTCCTGGAACATGGCTTACCACTGATTCCGAAATGCTGCATTACTAATTTCAGGACAGATACATATTCTTTGGGCCTTTCTGATTAGACAAGGTTGATTGTTAAAGTTACAATACTCCAGTGCTAAAATCCACATTTCCAAGCATCTTAAGTACCTAAAATTGCTTGGAATTGCTTAAGTACCTAGGCTTGCTTTCTTAGGGAAGTTTTTTATTTCATGCCACCCCCTCCCTGGCAATCCTACAGTGGGTGGTGCTCCCCTTCTTCTCCCTTGGTCCCCCCAGTCCATATCCCAGGGAACACCACAGCTGAAACCATCTTGCCTTCTCTCACTGTTGTTTTCCCCTTTTAATTTTTTCATTAGTTTGAGAAATTTTCTTTCATGACCTCTGAAGTGATCGCTGCTGATACTTGCTTCTGCCAGCTGATCTCATACATATACTTCTTCGTCTAAATTACCTTTTTTGGATATCATAAATCCCTGCTCAAGAGAAGAGAAGAGAAGAGAAGAGAAGAGAAGAGAAGAGAAGAGAAGAGAAGGCCCTAATTCTGACAGCTCTAAATGGGAGGCATACTTTTCTAACTTTCTGAGTACCTAGAGTTTTGGGAATGGGTGGGAAGCTTGTGGGACACCCCAAACCCTGGGGATCTCTATGCAATCAAAGATCACTTGTATTTTGATAACTTTCAGTGAAATGCAGCATGGTGGTGGGATGGAAAGAAGGATATTTGGAACGTCTTTTGGTCAGTGTCCAGGATTGGGACTAGGGTACTTTGACAACAGTGCTCAGATGCAAAAGACTCAGGATGTTGCCCAGGCAGAAGAAATCACACAAGACCAACTAGAAAAATGTAAAAAACTGTGCACAGTTGGAGTGTAATTTTACAACCAGAGATAGTTGCTCCAGTGTGCTGATGAGACAGTGTGTTGCTGCTTTTGCCAAGCACTCACTCACTCGCCACTTCCCTTTTCCTACAGTGGGATCAGTCACTTGAGTTCAGAGAATTGAGAAATTAAGCTATTATTAACATATATAGCATTAAATAATTTGTCACAAAGTTACCTTAAGAATTGCCTCACTCCTTATGTCCCTGCCAGATCTTTATGATCATCAGTGGGAGGATTTTCTGGGGCAGGATTTACTAGTGACTTTTTCCAGTTTGGGGAAAGAAAAATAAGAGTAAAATGGAATTTCACAGGAAACCTCGAGTCTACACATGTAAGCTCTGAGGAAAATTACAGCCATGTGGGAAGGGAGAGAGCAAAAGAGCTCAAGGTGGAGTGTGCCAATTTTGAGTAGAGCTGCTAATGGCAGCAGTCAGGAACCCATGACCCTTCAGATGTTGAATTCTACCTATTTTTCCATCAAGCCCAGCCAGCTTGACCAATTATCAGGAGTCCTGGGGATTGTAGTCCAGCAACAAAGGACCACAGATTCCTCACCCCTAAACTATGGTTACTGCAATATTGTTATATTCTGAAGAAAGATATTCTCTCTTGAAACACAGGATTCCTGTCAGCTGTCTCAACATAAATAATGCAAGTGCACACTTTACTTGTAAACATTATAGTATTTTTTAAAAAGTTTATTATACATAATTTCATTTAATAAAAAATTTACACTGCACAGAACTTCAAATTTTTACAGCAAAATTCTGAACAATATGAGAAATATAAAATCAGAAAACTCAAGGAATTAATATGAATTAAGGTTCCCAAATAATCCAGAAAGCCCAAAACTCTGATCCTCATACTGCTTTAAAATATTATTTTAAAGGAGATTCCCTGAGCAAAATACTTTAAGGTTTAAACACTGCATAGATTTACAGATATATCTAGTTTAAATCCAAGTCCCATTGGATTTCAATATACTTAGGATTGCTGACAAAGCTTAACTTGCAATGAAATTCAAAAGTTGCAAAAGCAAATTAAAAGAGAGAGAGAAAGCAGGGGCCTACAGGTTATTAACTTCTATTGTAAGTCCTTGGGAGTTAGGCAGCTAAGGGGGCAATTCTGTCATACCCACCATGGATGGAAGTAAAGCCTCTGAATTTGGAGGCTTATATGAATCAAATGGCCAAAGCAAGAGAATGGTGAATCTCCACTGCCACTGTGCCTTACCCCATGCATTTTATCTATATGGTTGATTTGGAATATTTAGAGAATGTACTGGAGGGAGGGGAGTGCCAAGAGGAATCAGCATAGATGGCCCCAGCCTCCTCCCATCTCTGAGGTATATTTCCATACTTGGAGATGCAATTGACATGGTTCTTTTTGTGCTGGCTGAAACACGGCGGAGACATGGCCACCCTATTCCCGGGCTGGAGGACCTCAGTGCTGGGACTCAGAATCCTATGCCCCTCTCCTGCCCCCCCCCCCCCAAGATGATGCCAAGGGCCAGAGAATTATGCCTCAATCTTTCTTTTTCTTCAGTTTTTCCATTATCTTTTGAATTGGAGGTCCCAGTTGCAAAAATGACTTCAGGAGACCCAAATTATAAATTGCAATCACTGAAATAAACAGCTAAAATCCTTTCAGAGAGTCAATATTTTGCTCAGGGTAAAAATAATACAGGGGTGCCACTTAGCATATTCTGTCCTTTTACAGGTTATTATTTGGTTCTGATGTAAGTAACTTAACAATACATAGAAGAGTTGCTAAAATTTGCAGACAGTGAGGAATGAGAGAATTTTACTGTTACAATGCTAAAAGTTACATTAGCAATCCCAACATGAATTTGGTGGTTCTACTCAAGCCAAGTAATACATTGTGGAGAGACACAAATAACTGGCATGTTTCTCTGAAAGATAACTCAATGCTTTAACATTTGCAGCTTTTTTGGTTTGCTTTTGTTTCTCAGCATTATAGATACTTGATTGGAAGGGAAGTGCGGGGGAGTGTTTTACACAAAATGGTTTATCTAAAGAAACAATGTACAGTGTAGTGCAAAGGCCTTGTGTCTCTAATTATTGAACAGAATAGTGAATTTCAGCCAGTGACACAGTAATGTGTCATGCATCAAACTGCACTTGCTAAAAACAAAACCCCCTTTTCTTTACAACCATTAAAACTACTACATCCATTATACTATTCCACATCCCAGGTTTATATAGCTACACAATTGTATGAGGAGCCAGGGACTCTAGGATCAGTGAAATAATGACAGAGCTGTATTGTCCTTGTGAACATGTACACAATTTCTGGATTGAGCAGAATTGGGTTCCCGATTTATCACCAATAAAGAATCCAAGGATTAGTTTTAGACTGGTCATGTTTGCATGTGGGTGTATCTATATAGGCTAGATTATACAATGGTACCTTGGCTCACGAACTTAATCCGTTCCAGGACTCTGGTTGTGACCCAAATTGGTTGTGAGCCAAGTTAAATTTCCCCATAAGGTTCAATGTAAATAAGGTTAATCCGTTTTTTAAATCAGAAAAATGTGAAGCAAAGTGACAACAAAGATCGTAGCCATCGCCCCGCCCCCCAGGCACAAGCGCAGCCATCTCCCCGCCCCTGCAGCACGACTGAGATTGTGCCTGTCATCCCTGCAGGCACCCGTCATCCCGGCACGCTGGGGGGGTGGGGGGGAGAGACGGACATGATCGCAGGCGCACTGGGGGAGGAAGAGACAGGTGCAAACGGAGCACTGGGGGAGGGAGAGATGGGCGCAATCTCGGCCATCTCCCCCCCCCCCGCCCCAGCACAATCGCAGCCATCTCCCCACTCGGAGGAGGGATGGGGAGATGGCCGCGATCGTGCTGGTTGTGGGGGGGGTTGGCCGAGATTGAGCCCATCATTTCCTGCAGAAGTGCGCCTCTGATCACACACACCTTCCCTGCACAAAACCAACTGTGATCGCGGCCATCTCCCCTCCCCCTTGAGTGGGGAAATGGCCACGATCGCAGTTCCGTTCGTGCAGGGAATATGTGCGTGATCACGGGTGTGCTGCTGCAGGAAAGACGGGCACAGCACAGCACAGCCACAGGGGAGATGGCCGAGATTGCGTCTGTCTTTCCTGCAGCAGTGCGCCTCTGATCACGCACGCCTTTCCTGCACAAAAGCAACTGCGACTGTGGCCATCTCTCCACTCGGGGGGAAGTGGGGGGAGATGGCTGCGATCTTGGTCATCACCCAATGCGGAGTTCGTGATGCATGTCAAAATTTTAATGAAATTTTTGTTCGTGACCCAATTTGTTAATGAACTAAGGCATTTGTGAGCCAAGGTACCACTGTAGTTCCTGGTGAAAAAGTAAAATGAAGTAATGCACAGATGCACAAAAATGTATTTATACTCACGCACACATAAACTTGTCACCTCTGAGGGACTTTACTTGTAGTTTGAATGATAGCATCTACCCCAGTAGCTCATTAGAATGACAAAAATAAATATTTAAAATACAAATAAGGCCTTAGGATACTTTTAGTTCTGAACTAAGCATCCTATCATTTAGTGAGGTAGGTAATTGCTTCCACATTATAAACTGACATAAAAGAAACCTGTGCCTATACTGAATGATATATCATTGACCAAACCAAGGAATTTGATCTGAAAGTCCTAAATGTAGCACATACAGGAATTACTTGGAGTTTCTTTATCAACTCTGAATTTGAAGAGCTGTTTGGAGACTCCCTTGGGATTACTGCCCAGCAGGAAACTCTAAAAATAATTTTTAGGTGCAACAGTGTACATGTACCTCTGGATTGTGCCCAAGGAAGTCACACTATATAAACATACTTCTAGGCAAATGAAGGAACATTAGAAAAGAAAGGGGGGAAAACGTAATTGTGGTATTACTGTACCTCTATGAACTTCAGAGTCTTTAAATTGAGAGATTTCCTACTGGCTTATGAGCCACGTTGATGAACCATGCAAGTCTGAGTCAGTTCTGTGTGAGTTCTGTGGCTGGATGCATTGCAGTAACAGCATGTGTCAACTCTTAAGATCTTGCCTGCTACTTATAATACAAAACTAGTTTTGGCAACACCAAAATGATTTTAGGTTTAACATGTTACTTTATTGCCTGTGTAAACATTCCCACATCTATCTTGTACTCCGATACTTTGCATGTTTTTATCATTTCATTTCACTTCTCCTGGGACATTGCAATATTCAAAGCAATCAGACCATGCAAAATACCTTTGCATAACTCCAATTCAGTGAAAAGGAAAAATCCAAGAAAATCTAAGTAATAGATCAAGTTACACCTGCAGTTTCCAGCTGGGATCTTCAAAGCCAGTAACACCAATCTGTTAAGCACCTGGATCTAGGATTTCTTCTCTTGACTGCAACATCCTCCTCAGCATTTCACTATACTTCTGTGGAGTCATCCATTTCTCTAAAATATATATAGAAATAGCTCTCATAATTTCAGCCCCTGCTGTCAGTCCTGCCTTTCCCTCTACTATGCGTCAGCAACAAGAAGAGAAGGAGGAACTACCATCAAGTGTTCATATGTACTTTCCTCCCAGCCCTCTTCCTGGCTGGGAGGAAAGTACATAGAAAGCAGGCAATAGTGGCAAGAAGAAACAGCAACACCCAATGGCAATAGCTGTGAGGAAGACCACACCGTGAAGGATATATTTATTTATTTTATTTGAAATATTAATAGACCACCATTAAGGCAGCTTCTAATACCTAATATTTTCACTGCTTATAGTAAGAAAATCAAACTTCCAAACAAAATTAAGCATTAATAAGAGCCAAATATTTTAAACTAGATCAGTGCAATAACAGGCAAACATAATTTAAACATTTAAATAAATGTAGCTAAACATTATTTCTGTTTGAAAACTTACAACATTTCTATTAAGAAAAAGCTGGAGAAAACAAATACACTCATAGGTCTTCTAAGGTCTGTAGTGACAAGGGACTGAAGCACCCCAGTGGACACTGTGTTCTAGAGCTATGAGGCCACAGCTGAGAAAGCCCTGCCTCATACTTGCCAGCTTAGTTATTCTCATGGCTGGGTATCTGAGTAGAGCTTTATAAACAGCTCAACAATGCTGGCAGGATAATATGGATGAAGACGGTCCTTCAAGCACTTCAAACTGGGCTTGGAAACATACAAGTAACTAATACAACTGGTGTAGGTAAGCCTCACCCCCACCAAGACTCATGTGCCCATGTTTTATACCAGGTTAAGCTACTAGGCTGTCTTTAAAGGCAGGCACACATAGATCATGTTACATCCATCCAGCCTAAACATCACAAGTGTCTGGCATTGTCCACCTCTGAGGTCCAAATACCTGGTCCAGTGGAGGCTGATTTCACTAGTCAGGATGGGCAAAGGTCTAAATAACTAATAGTAACAAGGGTCTAAAAAGAAAGTGTTAGGTTTCAATCTTCCAAGCAGTTTGTCTCCTCAGATATAAAAGTTGAAAATTATCCATAACATTACAAAAAAGTGTATTCCAGCTCTTTCAAAACAATGGCATCAAAGTTGGTGGAGTTATAACTGACCAGCAAATTGATCAAAAAGTCTTCTGAGGGCTTAAGCTGTGCATTACAGTGCCTGCACCTTGGAAGCCTTTTAATTGCTTGACACAACTGTACTGGATATTGAACTTCATTGAAGATGGAGAAGACTTCTTTTCTGTCAACGCTGCTACAGAAGGAGGTCATATTCATATAATCTGATGTACACAAAACCTGGGATACCACTGACTCTTTCAAACTGCCTATTCAGTCTGAGTTATCAGAGGCTCTGCCTTGTTCACTTTGGTTAGAATTCTTCAGTTTATCTCATTTTCCAGTGCATAAGGTATGGCTCACCCAATGGTATGCCAGGATGAGCAAGGAAAGGCTGGATACTTTGCTATTTACAATTATTAATACTTTGTTTGAGAAAGGCAGAGTTCTAGAAGACCTCAAGTCAATAAATAGTCAATGTGAAGAAGCAGAGGGAGGAAAGAAAATAGCTTAAAGAACACACACAAGCTTGGAAGAGACCAAAATTTCTCTAATCACTGACCTGCAGTTTGTCTGTTGCTTGGTCACTTGAAAGGATTATACATCAAAAAAATGAAACATCTACCTGAGCCTTTTAAGCAGACGTTCACGTTTTCCTTCCAGAAGGCAATTCTTAACTCTCCTGGGGACATCAGGCACATACCAGGCTGCAATCAGTTTGATGCACAGAGCCACATGCTGCAAAGGGCCAATGGGCGGATCAGATTTTTATTCCTCACAGCGAAGAGACTGCAAATCACCACCTTCCTTGACAAACATGGCAATTTGTGGCCTACTAGATCTTTTGATCTATGGCTCCCACCATTCCTCATCATTGGGTATGCTGGCCACAGCCAACAGAAGTTGTGGACCAAAACAGCTGGAGGGCAGAAGTTGCCCACTCCTATTCTAGGTAATGATCAACAGTAGTCAACACTATTATGCTCTCAATTAATTTACACTGGTTCTTTTTCAACAATTGTTTCAACAATTGACACTCAATTGTTGTATCCATTAAGCAACATGAAGAAATTCTTACTACATTGATCTAAATGCTTCCTTTTTGTTATAATTATGCTGGACTGGCAGCATTTTAAGCCCACCAATGTGATGTGTCAAGACACAAGCTGAAGTGATGCCCCCATTATAATTCAATACAGGCTGTCTATTTAGTCCTTAGCCAAGGCTAAATATGGCTGCCCATAGCTAACTGGCAAAAGGTTTCTGTTCCTGAAATCAGACAAAATACAGAATTGCATCTTCACAACTAAGCAGGTCTGGCCTGTACAATGGATGGAAGATTGCATGGGTACCCCATTTGGATACACATTCTGGGCAAAAGGCAGAATGCAAAGATTACACATAAAGATTTAACAGCTTCACAAAAGAGAAGGTTTTGACAGGTTGGTTTCTCTTGCCATACAGCTGTGCCCCAGTTGTCATGCCATTCTGCCTGCTGCCCATGTAAAGTCTTAGTTGCTGGCAGGATTATCTTCCTTACTATGGAGCTGTTAAAGGAACTGTACAGATTGCTTGCAGATCTTGCTGTGTTTCATGTATTCAACAGAGGAATCAATTAAAACATTGGTATGGGGTCAGAATCCCAGGCCTTCCACCAGCTTATTTATGCCAGTGCAACTGAAAGATTCTTTTTTTATGTGTTAAATTTCTCACCAATAACAAGAAGAGTTTGGCATAACTCAATCACAGTTTGCTGAAAGAGGCTTAAGATGCTGTCATATTGCACTAAGCATGTCGCTCTTATATTTTGGTTCAGCTGAAATGAACATGCTGAAACTTGGCCCTCTATTCAAGACCTCATCCACTGTTTTTGCAACTAGAACACTTACTTCAAACAATATAAGGAAGGCAAGGCGTGCAGCAAGAACATGCCAAAACTGGACAGAATAACCGTAGTCATCACTGTTCCTGTAATCTCGGTATCTGCAAAAAACCACATAACACTACAAACTGTACAGAAGCACATGGTCAGACTCTTGTTACCTAATATTCTTGTCTGTTTTAATAACAGGGTCTTAACTATGTTTTCTGCAAAAGATTTAACATGGCAACCCCTCTGGATGTGGTTTTAACATTGGCTATTAATATTATTCATTTTTACTGTGACTGTGTAAGCCAATTTGAGAGCTTTCTTAAACAGAAAAGATGGGATAAAAATGATCACTGTTCATTTTTCAGAGGCTGATTATGGAGCTGGGAAAATAATTTCATTTCTGGTAGCCCACTGGAGTCCTCACTACTCATGAGTAAGTAGATCTGTAGGCAGGTAGCCATTCAGTATTCATGCAGTCTGCTCAGATACTGTAAGGAATATTGCAAGATAGCAAAGTTCTTCATAGAGGCTCCCACTTTACTATGCTGTACTGAAGGGAAGGAGGCCTGCACCAATATATTGCTTAATGGATCGAGCTGTGCTACTTCCAGGAAGAAGCAATGGCTGTGGGAGCAGCGCCATGCATTTATTACTACCTGCAGTATTTTATCTCATTCCCCATGGAATCCTGAAGATCAACTAGATTCTTGTAGTTCTCAAAGTCCTGGACACTGAAGACGGAAAGGCTGTAGTTGATATAACCTGTCATACAGCTACAATCAACAAAAATGGTAATAAATCAGTTGGGGTGCAACATGTTCCCACATTAATTATACACTGGCAAGAAGATGACAATTTTCAACAATCTGAACATTTTGGGTACTGGTCATTTGTTTCTCAGCTGGGGGCAGGACTTCTACATTTTAGCAAATCAATTTGCTTTGACCTGTACTTGCTAATTTGTTAACTCCTTTTATTCCTGAAGTGGAACTTAGAGATACAGGCAGTTTCTGAGTTACAGGCATCTGAATTATGAACAATCTGTACTTAAAAAATGAACTGCCATAAAGCCTTTTAATTTAAAAAAGAACACACACTACAGGAAAGCATCATCACCAGAGAGAGAGGAAATGGAAGGGGAGGGGAGGAAGCCCTCCAAAGCATCACCACAGAAAGTGAAAGGAGAGAGAAAGAGGTCTCCAAAGCATGCCTTCTTGACCCACCCAGCCAGGGAGGGATGGCACCTCTGGCATTCCTTGCTGCAAAGAGGAGGCACTGGTGAGTTGGGGCAGGGAAAGTTAAAGATATTTGTGTGTTTTCCACTTTCATAGTGGTTCTGTGCCCCTAACCTCCGTGAACGTGAAGGGCCAATGATACATGATCTGACTTGTATACAAATTCGACTTTATGACAAATTTCTATTTTCTCAGGACTAGAACTCATTTGTAACCCAGGGACTGCCTGTATATACTAAATTATGAAATTCGTGTGTTTTCTATAGTTTATTAGCAAACAGATCTGACTTTGCTTGAGTTTGTAAAATTGAACACACTGTGCCCACCACATCAGTATGCCACCATGGTTGCTGGCAGCCCTAGGCATGACCCCCCCCCCCCACCATGGTACCCTCCTATAGCCACCTAGGGGAGGAGCTGAAACACTACATTCTCCTGCAATGTGGCTGCCTCACAGCAGCAGGAAAAATGCAAACATATAATCTATCCTGCAACTGCAAAGCTACATGCTGATTAGGAAGTCTGCTTCCTAGTAACTGACAAATGGTACCAGAGGTTTCAAATATACACAGACACATTTAAATTAATTACAATTAATAAATGTATTTAAAAAGTACATTAACCCTGAAGGGCGCATCACTGGCATTCCTACAGTATGCATGCCAAGTCTCAGGTGCCTATGAGTTATGGTCTTGTTGTAATAGTACTGACAGACATTCTCTTTTAATATTATAGAGTACCTTAACTCTTTTCTATTTCATGTTAGAAAAGATGGAAACACTGAGCTTTCTCAGTGACATTTAGCCTGATCCTGTGCTTACTGGGAGAACCTTCCCTGACTTTGCTGTTCTATGAAAAAAGAAGAAAAGGTTCGGTGATATCTATCTCAATTAAGTTGCAAAGCACTTTACAGACATAGAAGTCTTAGATGTTTTGATGAGGGAAGTATTTTTGCTCAGTTCAATACCTGTTGGCCCCAGTGCACTTATGTAAGATAATCAAATCAGCTCAGGCAATAACTGAACACTATTAGATATTTCTGTAGGGAGGATTCAAAAAAGAACAAAAATGTTGAGTCTCTCTCATATACATGTACCCAAATACAACTCACATGCAAAAGGTCTTTTAAATGTCACCCTCTGATAGTCGCATTTCACCCATTTTAACCAATACTGAATTCTTCCCTTGTCACAACTTGCCCCACGAACAGTGCGTGATGGTCTTGCACAAAGAGACTTTTAGCTTGTAGGAAAAGGGTCCAGTTCTAGGGCATTACAGTCTGTTAGATTAGTCTGATTTCTGAGAAGGCAGCAGAGGGACAGAGTTGGAGAAATGCAGTTTCAAGGTGACCTAGTAAAGATTCACAGGCAGAGCATGAGAATCAACCTGCCTTGGAAAAGGAGGGAGCCATTTCAGAACTGGTGGGGGAGCCAATTGGAAGGGAGTTTCTTGACCCTGTCAGGAGACAACAGGCAAAACAAGTGGGCAAATTAAGAAATGTCTGGCATTCCTACCATCTAGCTCTTCAGCAGCAGGGGCCACCTTGCAGGTAGAGTCGGAATCTTTTTGAAAGGGGGGAAGGAGGAGCTTGAACTCTTTAAATGGGCAGGTGCTTCTCTCACATCTCAAATAGAAAGCTATTTTGATTTATACTGTTTTATAACCTGTTAAGCTTCAACTATGAGTTGGTACAGAAATAATACATAAATAAATAAATAATAGGCATGTGCTTCAAGTTTCATCCGAATCTGCTGGAATGACAAAGGGAGGGAGAGACTTGTTTATGCCAATTATCAATGAACCCCATTAATAGTTCTCAAGATGTAGCTATCTTCTATATCTTTTACTTTGCTCTTTGTCATTAATCATATATTGTTTATTATTATAGATTACCTTCACTCATTTTTGTACCAAGAGAAAATTAATGAATTGACATATAGTCTGTTGACAGCCACATAAACTTCTTAGTTGATACTCACTCTACGCCAGTGTTGTTCTTCTGCAAACATGGGCCATAGATGTATTTGTACACTTGCATGGGAATGAAGTCTGAGGTGATGGCTATCACTAGGCCATTGCCAATGACAGCCAAAATACCAATTGCCTCCAGGACATACAACCAGATACCTGTAAAAGAACAGAGATTCCCCCCACCCCCGCAAAAAAAATCAAGTTTCCTAGGTCAGTTTGGCAGAAAGGGCAAACTCCCCCTCCCTGGCCTTATACCCTCAAAGTATTATAACTTTCCTGCAAACTGTTTTAAGCACAATGTTTTTCTGGAAGATGCAATATAGAAACAGACAGATTATGGGCTGTAGACAGATTATGGACTGGTGGCTCCAATGTAGTGAAGCAGTATATGTACCTGGGGTTTAACACTGAACTTTAAAAGACTTATCCATGATGCTAAATCCTATTCCCTACCTCCAAAATATGCTCAATATCATGGATATTGCCTTAAAAGTTCAGACTGCAGCCCAGAGTAGATACACTACCCCACTAACACTGCAGCCACCAGCCTCCGCTGGATTATAGTAACTCACTAAGTGTGAAGTATTCCTGAAACATGCAATGCCCTATCTTTTTCCTGGAGTGTCACAAAAAGTGGGGCAGGATTGAGCTCCTCTGCTCTCATTCTGCAGCCAGCATCTAATTGAATTATTTACTGAGGGTTTGTGCCAGGACCAGTGTAAGCCCACGAACAAACACTGTGAAGTCCAGACCTGGCAGGGTGTACTTTCCAGTTCAAGGTCTTGGAGATCAGCAGCAGGAATTCAAAGAACTGTGCTCACCTCTGTTGACCAGGCAGAGGCAGAAGGATGGTCAGCTGGTCGGCTACATGATGTGAAGAGAATGCTAGACTAGACTGACCCTTAGCCTGAGCCACAATGGCTGTTTTTAATGTTCCTGGTAATGCTGCCATTCCTTTTTTGAGAGCCACTTCTTCATTCAGCACATTGAGTGAATAAACTATTTCTTCAAAGAGTTTGGTATTGCCAATAATAACTGCAAGATACAAGATGCCTCTGCTAAGTGCTCTGAAGTGGAAGCCTTTCTCTTCAGTCTGCATCTTACCAATGTCGTTGGCTTTCCTGGGCACCATGCGTCTCTGCAATTTCACCATCTTGATAGCATCTAGCCGAATCTCAAAGACGTTGTTGATACAGGCCAGCAATGGAGCAAGAGGGAAGGCAGCCACAAAAATAGTGGTGAAGCTATACTGGATCACTGGGGATTTTTAAAAATGGAGGAGTATGCTGAAAAGAAGCAACAAACTGAAGACAAATTCCTAGCAATGCCTATGTTTGCTGGGCAGAGTGTGTATATATACTGCAAACCAAGCCAGCATGCTACAGAGCAAGCAATGCAGACTCCCTCCCCAGGCAACAATCGTTCATGGCCATCACTAATGTTGACCCTCTGGCAGCCCCGGGGCTAAATCAGTTTTGGAGAAGCTCAGGGGATGCATTCCAGTGGCAGGTGATGCAGCTGTGCCAGCCTACATATTGTAGCTCAAAACTTTAACTGCCACTAAAGGACAGGCATTATTATTATTTCCCCACTGTTTTCAGGAAATAGTGTAAGAGCGTTCTTTTTCCTGTCCAACAGGTGTAGTCTTGATTAATTTCCTTGTATATTTCTGCTGTCAACAAAAGCAGGGAAGTAAAATATGTAACACACAAAGGAAATGAGAAAACAAGGCAACACATAGGTTAATTTGTTCACAGTTGCAAAGGGTCAGAGGAAAAAATAACAGTAAGAGAAAAAAGGAACCTGGTGGTGGCATTTCAGAAGCACCAAAAAGAGGAAAAAAGACTGGTGCTTTATAAGTGCACCAAAATGTGGTTGGGGGGAATAATATCTCATTATTTGCAATGTAATTCTCTCACTTGAAGGTGCTGGACTGAAACCCCAGAAAAAGTAGGGAAGGAAAAGGCATAGTTATCAGAGCTCTGAGGGGGCATGAGGCAGGGTGGGTTCTGCTGCAAAGGTGCCTGGTATGCACACTGAAGGATCAAAGGGAAAGAGGGAAAAAACAAGGTGTGACAAGCCCAATAGTTTTTTGAATGCACCTTGGGGTTGTTCAGTGAGCAACCAACCACCGTGGCTTATTCACAGGGTGTTTTAACAAGCTGAGCAAACTCACTCAGTGTAATGAGGGCTAGAGCAAGAACAGAAAAATAACTGGACTAGTTACAATAATTGGACAAAAGGACAGGAGTGGTTAACAATGGCTTCTTTCATTCCATTCTTTCACTGATTGATCAAATAGGCAGGCACCTGACTAAGCATAATGTATCTCTGCTTATCCTTGCAATTTATCTTCCCCAAAGCCTTCTCACTCGACATCACTTACTCATCTCCATAAATTCATTGAAGACACTGAAAGAATTGACTTCATTAAGCTGGTAGTTCCAAAGCCATTCCTCCTTGCATGGATCCTGTTCTGTCTCTTCCCTATGATCCCTGCTGTTGATTGTTGTCTTCCCATTCATCAGCCGGTACCTGTATCGTATCCAGCTGCAGTGGCAAATACATAGCATTAAGCAAGAAATGTCAAATTTCAAAATACAAGGTCTGTGAGCTGCCAAAAATGTTCATGAACATCCATCTTTATGGTGACATCAATAACCTTTCATGAGGATCTTCCAACTGCCTTTCTATGGGGACTCTGACAAGTACTATTCTCTGATGAAGGCCTGGAATGGCTGTTCTCTGGCTGTTGCATCAAACCATCTCAAAAGGTATCATCTAAGGTTTGGATGCTTTTCCTAAGTGAGTGGTTCCTCACAGGTTTGATTCACACTTGAGGTGGCTGCTACACTTGCCCTGGGATAAAGTAGAGCTCCTAGCCCTGGGCTGGGATCCACTGAAGAAGAGGTACTGTTTCTGAAAACTATATGCAAGCAATGCATGTGCAATCCTAGCTGTGTGATCCAGGTAGCCTGATAAAGGGACTACTGCAGTGACGCAAGTCATTGCAGGCATGTGTCTAGCTCCTACAAGAATGCATCAGTTCTCACAAGGAACGCCTAACATGTGAAGGGCCGACCTTCACCCCACCTCTTACGTGCCCAAGGTGCTCATGTAGGAAGTGCTGTACTACTATACTATAATATATAGCATGATGCTATCAGGTAGCTTCCAAACAATTCAGTAAATAAATTCATGTGAACTGCCTACTGCATGCACATCTCTCCCCTTTTCCTTTTCCAGGAGATGAAAGGCTTCCTTTATTTGTGCCAAACACAAATTATACAAAGTTTTGTTATACAAAATGAGTAGTATAGAAGATGTGCCAAACACAAATTATACAAAGTTTTGTTATACAAAATGAGTAGTATAGAAGTTGTTAACAAGTAACATAAATCAAAGTAACAAACCCTCTGGTTTAAGTGAGAAGGCTTATGCCCATGTTAGAAGCTGATACTAAAACTAAAGACTCACAAAGTCTTTGAGTCCCTCTTCAAAAAGACTTTGCTCCACCCTGAAGGAGGTTCACGCTGCTTGATGGTAAGACAGCAGCAATGCCATGTGTTACATAATCACTCTACTTTTTTGGCTTGATGACAGTTCATTGGGTTGGTGAACTCAGACTCATCCCCCTGAGACTCTCCTTCTCCAGTGTCTCCCACTGAACCAAAGGCAGTTTGGTTCTCACCAGCAGCTTAGCTAATCTCATTCATTAACTTTGACAATTCAGTAACACTTTCCAACCTCCTCTTCACCTAGTTCACTTTTCAGGGCTGAACTTCCTACTTTGGGAAACTGTTCTTTGAGAATACTGGGGACAATCCCTACACAACCATGAAAAAGACAACAAGATCATGAAATCACAGCCTCACCCCAAGAGAATATCATTCACATAACAACTCTCCTACAGGTTGTTCTGCATATGAATACAGATCAGAACATGTCCAAAGACTGAACAAAATACACTTCAACAGTCATCACATACTGGATCATTGCTCCCTTCAGCCCAACCAGCACTTTCAATGATCTTGCTAGTCTGGGATGATGAGAGGTGTAGTCAAACACATGAATGGCACCATGCATGGAGAGAATGCATTACACCAAGGTTCCATGTCCTACACCTAAATGTTCAAGCAAATACACCAAGTCCCATCTTGCAAAATAAAGGAATCCCCCTGGCCTCATTCATATACACAGTTTCTTATTTTTCTCATGTTAAAGTACAATTCATCAAATATTCCCCACAGAAGGAAGTGTTATTAGTACCCCCACTTCCCCACACACAATACCCAGGTCATGCGAGTTACGCTAACTTACGGAAGCATGTACTCCACCAAGTTGCTTAGGGTTTGCTTTAATGTCATGATTATGGTCAGCTGCATAAAGAGATCTATGAGGCAGCCACTCGGGTGGCACTGGAAAGAAAAAAAGAAGAGAGAGAAACTGTTGCTTTGAATGTAAAGGCTGCTTCCAGTGTCACCTTTTTTGGAACTGTCATTTTATAAAAGACTCTTAGGGCAACCATCCGAAAAGGCTCTACATCTGCACTACTAATTCATGTTTACAATTATTATTTTGCCTTTCAGGAGCTCAAAAGAATATATTCAGCCTTCTCCCATTGTACCCTCACAAGAAGGAACATAATAAGTGGAGCACTTTCATACAAGGCTTCTATCATGCAATCACCTGCTTTATTCATGGAATGGGGTGCGAGGCTCCCAGTGTTGTCTTCCACTTAAAATTTGTGCTTTCCCATCCCTTCTTCATTACGCACACACAAATCCATTCAGGAATAAAGAACACAATAGCTGCTCAGTGTCTTTGGATTGGCAGTACAAGAACTGTTTGTCTGGAAGATACCATCATGATTTGCCCACAACCATACTGTGATCTTTATGACCTATTAGGGATTTGAACCTGCTGTTATACATCTGAAATTCACATCTGCCCATTCATTGCAGTTATACACGCCTGCTGCTATTTCCTGTTTACTTTTGCATGGGAGTTTCAGAATTCAGGTTGCAAGTCATGGTGAATTTTGAAAAAGAGTATGGTCAATTTCCATCTGATGCAAGGATTCTCTCCAAATTGTGCAGAGAAGGGAAGAGAAGTGATATTACTGTCTGAGCAACCAGGATGTGAGAGGAGAGAAAGAACCTTCGTGGCAAAGTAACTTACTTCTTCTAGTCTCCACTTGCCACCAACGCGTACATAATTGCCTGGGCGACCATTAATCCTAGAAGGGAAGTAAGAGGAGACAGAATCTGTTTCTAGTACTATTGATATTATTGAATAACAGAGCTTGGAAGATAACAGTGATAATGCAAGATGCAGTAAAGCAGTAGAGCTAAAATGAGACTAATCAAAAAGCCAAGACCAACAGTCAGATTGACAAAGAGCAGGGAGAAGGCTAAAAATAAAAATATTTTTTATTAGATTTGTTTAAAAGCCACCCACTAGCATCATGCTGTCTGGGCAGCCATTGCAATATAAAGCCAACAAATAACATGAATAAAATAAAATAATGCAATTGCAATATCATAATAAATAAACAGAATAAAATCACAATAACTTGATTAAATAAAACATATATTAATATAATTAAAAACCCATGCATAGATATAAATAGTCTAGATGGGGCCAAAGGTGTGCCAGAAAAGGAATGTTTTTGCCAGGCATCTGAAACTCAGTAAGGTAGGTGTCTGGTGACTCTCCAGTGGTAGAGTGTTTCATAATTGGCGTGCCAATATGGTGGGGAGTCACCCTTAGCTGCCAGAATGCAAGAGCCCCAGTTTTGCTGAAGATGCTTTTTGTGCTAACCCACCACACCTGTTTCCCTATCTTCTCAGCAACACTTAACACTCATCAGAGCATTTTGTAAATTTCTCTGGAATTCAAAACCCATACTTTTCTCCTGTCACAAATCATGAGAGAAAAGCCACCACTGTTTCCATGTTACAGGTATTGATCTGAGAAAGAAAGTGTTAAAGGGTTAGCTCAAATTTGGTTCTCCTGATTCAAACCCCTTCACCAGCAAGCCACACTGAACTCCTTCTGCTTTGCTAATTGCTGTTTACCTCCCTAGGAAGAAAGCAATGTAGATCAGAGAAGAGAAATGGGTGAAGAACTGGAAGGTGAAATATTTGACTGCAAAGTTTTTCTCACGCTCAGTGAATGACCTTGGTTTCTCTGGAAAAAAGAGCACAAACACTGAAGTTAGTGGTGGGACCTGGCATCCCCATTCTTATGGATAGTTTATTCTGCCCAAAATTCCATCATGAATGCATTTTGGAACGTCTCTATAGACAATTCTTTTACACAAATGTATTTCCAATAGTTACTCAATCCAAACACTTTTCATGTAGATGGACTAATGAACACAGTATCTAATTTTTCTTACCTAGATCACAGAGGAACAGTGCTACACACCTGTTCACCTGGAACAGACAAGTGGCAAATGAAATGAATGAATGACACAAGCTGCAAGACAGATAGGTGACAAACATCCACAACTCATGACCTCATACCTTGCTCATAATGATGATGGTCAAGTAGTGCAATACAGCCCCTGTTATTACCGCCATGGTAGTAGCTAGTTCTCGAAAGAATCCAGAGCTGGACTGCATAAAGATGACTGTCACTATAACCCGGTAGATGACAAGAGCATGGGCAATGCCAATCAGCACACAAATCTAAAAGACAAAGATGGACTGGCAGGATTCTAAGGAAAAGATGTGGGAAACTGATGGAAAAAAGCAACAAGATTCTAGCTTCTTCACCGAAATGGCAACAGATCTATGTTCTAAACATTTTATTTTTATTCCATTTTAATGAACATGGCTTCCCCAAAGACTCTGGTGCAGAGGTCCACAATTCTGCTCAATACACTAATCACAGCAAGTATCCCACTGCCCTTTGGTGTGCATGATGATTCTAGAATTGTGTTGTGCTTTGGAGCACATTTTGGTGGTGCTTGAAATGGAACAATGGAACTCTGAAGGTTCCCTTCTATTCAAAACAAAGGCAGCATTCATATGGTGGGGGCATAACTTATGCAGATACATCTTGTTCAAACAGATAAGTGCAGTGCAACTGTAGTGATGATCTTCACTCCCCCACTTCACTTGCACTGAAGTTTTGCTGCTCACTTCTTGAAATGATTTACAGGCCTTGGAACCACAGTACTAAAAATTGCAAGCACCAGGTTTGGTCTTGGGACTTGTAATGTTTGCAGTGCCTTGGATGTATTGTACCAAAACAAGCCCCAGCACACCTCTTCAACTCTCTAAAGTGAAATGCAACTGTGTGGATGATGCCTCTTTCCCTCTCCAGCTTCAAACTGGATGGGAGGGTGGGCGCCTGTTTTCATACTGAATTTCCAAGACACATGGAACACCTTAGATGGGCAGCAAAATGCCAGAATGATTCTTTCACTCACTCCCTCCCTTGATCCAAATTCCTGACCCTGGACTGAGCTTTGGAGGTTCATCACAGAATCCTGCCAATTTTGGGCCTAAGTACTAAAGCCAGCAAACTTCCCTGATCCTGGGAACAGTACTTGATAGCAGTGCCAAGAATTCTTCTAGAAATCCTCCATAAATCCCCCATAAATAGCCCTCATAAACCATTCACTCTCAGGGTGTCCTAGGGAGATCTTATTAAGTAAGTCCACGGATACAGGACAGCTGTGCCTGTGCCAGAACAGAAGTGCAGGCTTAATATGTGTGGGATGGGGGGTGAACTTCTATGCATGTACCTAAAAATTTATCATGTGGAAGTCAGCATGTATGACAATATGCCTGCACTGTGTACTAAATACCACTGGCTGAAAAATTAACATTTGGGACTTTAAACTGCTGAGATTGAGACTGTTGATTGACTTTTGAGGAGGCAGCTTGGATCTTCTTGGCTCATCCCTCTTCTGCTCAGCTGGCTCATTCTCTCATTTTGGATGTGTCTATCAAAGCTTTATTGCTTTGTCTTATAGTAGTAGGATGAAGGGGAAAAATGAAATCTGAGGCTTACTGCATTGAGTACTAGAGGAACATGATAATCAGTGAAGTCCAAAGCATCTGCTGGAATGCCTTTTCCAGTCTCAGCATGGGTGTCATGGCTTCTGCTGGAATGTACCAGAAAAATGATAATCACATACCATGAGCAAAACTAGGATGAGCACAACAGTGCTGCGCATGTAAGAATGTTGGTACGGCTGGGGATCATGCTCTGGGTTATTGATGACCTCCATCATCACCTCCTCCTAGAGACAGAAATATAGTCATATTAATGGACCCTTATGTTTTTCACCATCATATATAGCCAAGGCAAACATTCCCCTCTTTAGAAGCTCAAAAGAGAGACTAGAAGGGAAGTTTCACAAACATTACCCCTCTCAGCTCACTGATCTGCAATCCTGGCAGCAGCAACAATGGGGGGGGGCACGACCCACAAAATGCACAAGAGATTGAAGAACTACTGCCCAGGCTCCAATGCGGTTTCATCAGGCTACTCTGAAACCAACAAGATATGGCTATGTGTATACCAACTGAAGATAGACAGGGTGAGGGCAATCATGTAGGTAAAAACAGAAGACTCTCAGCAGCAATGGGACATGTAATTATCACTTCTGATTAGCTCACCTGTGACCTTGCACCAGTTTGTGAGGCGGTAGACAAAATGGCTGAAATCCCCCTCCCACCCAATTTTGCAGACTGCAGAGAAGGCAGTGAGTTGAGGAAGGGAGTATTTCAGCTCAGCCCTACTAATGAGATTCAACATCCTTGGAATATTAGCTATTCATGCCACACTTTCCTCAGAACCTGCAGGGACACTTTTCCTCCATAACTGAGACAGATGAGACCAGTCAACTTACATACATAAGCTTGCAATTTTGAAGAATGGTAGAATAATTTTTCTTAAAGATGTTTAGGAAACATCTATACAGGATAGGATAAGCCCACCCTCCCCAACATAGTGCACACTAGGTGTTCTGGAATACAACTCCCACTGTTCCTGACTATCGGCCATAATACCTGGAACTGATGGGAGCTGTAGGCAAAAACATCTGGAGGGCACTAAGTTGGGGAAGGAGAGCTTACACATGCTTGTATAACTGCTTCCTGGGAAGGCTGTATTAAGGTATGTAGTCTAGCATTTTTCAGTGGATATCCTAAAAGCAGGGGTAAAGCAAGGATCCCCAACTGAAGGATCCCCAACTGAACCCATGGGCACATTTGAGAAATTGTTCTGAGCAACATCACAAGATGCATAATTATAATGATTACATTGCATTTATATCCCACCTTTTTTCTCTTGTGAGGAACCTAAGGTGGCTTACATAGTTCCATTTTATCCTTGTAAGAGCAGCCCTGTCAGGTGAGTTGGGCTGAGATACTGTGAGTAGCCCAAGGTCACCCAGAGTACTTCATGGCTGAATGGAGGACTAGAACACAGATGTCCATAGTTCTTGGTACAGCTTTCTACCCACTGCACCACACTGGCTTTTAGTGTCTAATGAGTCATGCCTAATCAGTCAATGACTGACTGTTATTCCGCAAAAACTCTACTTTTGTTTCTATTGGACACTGCAACGTTTCTTTAATAAGGGATTGCCTAATTCTAATACATGTTTTTGCAGTATCTTCTAGTTCCTCTTTTTGGAGAGTTTATTACACAGATAAATTTTGTACTTGAATGGCCTTTAGTATTCATAGTTTTACATATACTTTTAAATTATTTATTTGTTTCAGGGAAATTAACAAATGGTCAGCACAAATGACTCTCTACATCATTTTGACAGCTAAAAGACTGATATTACAGCAACCTTCATGTAATGCAAAGGACTGAGGATCTTTGAACACTTTCCATCTTTGATATAGATACCAGCTTCAAGTGGATGCTTCTTTGGATATTTGGTCCACTACATATAATTGCACCCTACATATAATTGTTAGAAAGCTATATGCATTTCATACAAATCCATGTATGTGTATTTAAAAAGATTTTAAAAATGGTGGGGGGGTGCCTGTGGGGACCATGTTACGGACCCTTCCACGGGTGCCACTGAAGGTGACTGTGAGTGTAACACTGGGGATGCCTGGAGTAAAAGGCAATCAGCCACAGCTTACCCTGGAAGAGGACTGCTCTCTATCACTGCTACTTCCTCCATAATGTGGGGTGATATCTTGAGAATCAGATATTATCTCTCAGGAAGCCAGACTAAGAACAAGAATGAGCAGTACAGTTCCTTTTTATTGATACCTCCCTCAGAGCAAAATTGGACTAGAACAATCTGAAATTTCTACCAGCATCATCAACCCACATCACTGTTAGCATAAAGTGAAATCTGCATATTGAGCAAGACAAAGGCACTGGCGTGTTCATTTATGCATGTGTTGCTAAAGGAGAGATTTTCCTAACACACCAAGAGGCAACAGCAAGTCCCTTTCTTTTCATTTAGACGAAGAGTCAGATGTGTATAGTGGACAACAAAAATAAAGATGGCAACAGGTGAAACATAAGTTCTACCTTACCTCTTCTTCATCCCACAAAAACAGGTTCCATTTACTGACAACTCTAGCTCTTCGTCTCTTCCATAGCTCCAAGAACACAGTGGCTATAATTAGATACAAATCAAAGTACTTATATTGTTTTTGTGGAGGGGACAAAGGAGGCATCCTGCCCAACCTCTCGTAAGGATCCCTCACCCACCACCTTCTCTGTGCACTCTGCACAGGATTTCCCATTTTACAGTGTGTAACAAGTAGAGAAAGCCTGGGTTCTAGCAAGATGTACCCACAGATGTTAACAACTTGGAAGTCAGTCAGTCATTCCATACTAAAGAAGATCTGGCCACATAAAGCATAGTTGGCTTTTGAGTGTGTGAGTCACAAAGAGCCTAATCCTAGAATGCCCCCCAGGGATTGATCAATGAATTAATATAGCAACTGCCACGACCATGCTGTCTAGAACTATGCTTTACTTCCTCCTCTCAGTATTGCTGAGTTCCAAGGGACTTACCCCAAGCTAAGTGTGTATGTGATTGCAACCTAGGAGAACAATCCTTTGGTCTCTAGATGGCTACTGAGGGGCTACAGGATGTTGGGGATTGCCCCAGCCAGGACCACAGACAGAAATCTGGGGGAAGAGCAATTCTCTCCTCCCTACTCAGCCCTAGCCACTCTGGAAAACTCCAGGGGACTCCTCTCCCAAGGCTGATATCACAACCTTGGAAAGGGACAGGGATGGAGGAAAAGAAACATACTGGTAGGTGGAAAAGGGAGAGGATAGGATGTCGGTTTACTAGATGCTTAAGCCTCTTTGTTTCTGTGCCAAACCACAGCAAAGTGGGTGAATGAGATGAGCTCAGAATGGCATCAAGCACCAAGAGGCCTGGGGAGACTTAAAAGGTTTCTGCCAGTCCTTCTGCCCTGCAAAGGCTTTTGTCAGCAGGACTTTGGATAGACAGAGGACCCCAAAACCAGAGCAGTTCATCCACCAGGCATTTATCCTTTAGGCTTGCATTCTTAAAAACATCCCAAGGATGTGATGAAAACCACATACATTTGAATTCCAAAAGTTAAATGGACCTTGGTCAACTATGATAAGAGCATGGACTACTGAACTAATGCAACTACTTCATGCACAGTTGCCAAGTCAGAATTCCTTATACACATCTTTAACTATCCCTCCTGTGCTCCCACAACCCAATTTTATTCTTTTTAAGCATACGTCATTCTCTGCTATGGAGGTCTGGATGGGTCACTGGTCAAAACAAATGTCAAGTTCTCCCATTAAATTTTGCTTATTCTGCTCTGACGATAATAGATGCAGGATGTTTCCCAGGGATGGAAAGATTTTCCTGTGTATGGGAGAGAGGATAACACTAGAGAAGAACAGGCAGAAGATCAACCCATGCTGAAGCTTACCCCAGAGAGCCATGAATATTGCAAAGAAAACTGTCCCTTCATTGTCAAGCAAATGGGTGACCTATAGAGTCAAGGAAAGAAGAAAAGAGTCATGGTGGCAGGGAGAGTCTTCATGGCAAAACCCAATGTCATTGGGAGTGTTCTGGCAGCAGTGTGTGAAACAATAACTTTCCATTGAAGACTTGTATCTTTTGAAAAATTAGGACATATTGAGAGGAACATAAAAGCAGGTGGGCAGCAAGAATTGACACTGGATGAGGGCTGAGTGCCCCTGTGTCGGTTCAGAGAGACTCTTTTTGACTTCCAGAGTCAGCCATGGAGTATTTTGTCCTTGAAAGACAAATGAATATACATTTTATATTGCTTGTTCTTACCTTGGAATATATGCAAGTATCAGAGAGTCGCCAAAATGGGCACTTTTGGTCACAGAGTGGACACATGATGGTAGAGTTGGCTGCGCAGATCTCTTTGCTAAATCAGGAAGGGCAGCAAAGTGCACAGTGATTGGTTTGCCAGCCCACCATTAATCCTATTCAACAAAAGGGCAAAAGAGCTGTACCCAGAGCCAATGGAATTAAGGTGTACATAGTCACAGAGAGACAGCCACATATGAGGCAACTGGTTGTCCCAAAATGCAACGGCCACCCCACTTCTAGTTCCGTAATCCTCCTTTGTTGGCAGCCACATTGAGTGATTCCACACTGTTGGACAGGTAGCAGATCATATTAAAGCAAGAGGTATATTGAACAGGATGGATATTATTTATGTTTCCCTATTCAGGGATTAACTGACCCAAGGCTTTTCACAGCATACTAAGTCATAACATTCATGGCATCATTACAAACCATAAAACTATGGATAGAGAAATATTTTAAAGCACTGCACAGATGCAGTATAACAGCGGTAGGCAACTTCTGGGGGTCATAGGGCTGCACTGCTCCCCAGGGGCTAACTGCTTGGCTGTGCCATCAAATATGTTGCTAAAATTAGCTGATGCAATGCTATAGTAGCAAAAGACTTCATGATTTGTGTCAAAACAAGATGCATACTCCCCCCACACATCACATTTTCAAGCAAAATCATAGCTTTCTGCTTCCAAAATTCACTGCCATATTTGGTAGCAGGAGTGACCAAGAGCCACAAAAATGGCCAGGAAACCTCCATGTCTCCCGCCCCTGCAGTATAGGTGTAAAAGCAAGCAGCAAAGCACAGAGAGCTACAAATTACAGACTATACAGAGAGCTACAAATTACAGACTTTTAAAGAGACTATAGACACTTTAAAAAATATATTCTGGCTCAACTGTATCAAGGCAAAGCACATGAGGCAACCAGATGGTCTCAAATCCAGGTACTGTTGTATCTTTGTTTAGCAGGACAATCCCACCACAATCTCATAAGCAGAAGCAATAGCATTGCAAATTGCAAGCATATAAGACTCAAACCGTTTTCCATGCAGAGACAGAGCAAGCCAAAATGTATTTAAATGGCACAGTGATATTTTGCATTCTGTAGGTGCCTATACTCCCAAACTCACACATTATTTCATCAAGATATGCAAATATGCCTAAGGTTGCACCTAATACAACAGCTTCCAAGCACCGCGCATCTTTTTTTATCATGGTTACTCACCTGACTGGACTAGAACTGAAGTTCAAGAAGCCATATATGAAAAGGACAATGCCTGGTATAGCAGCTGCTAGCAGGATACAGGTGTACCAGCCCAGCCAGGCAAAATAAAGGGCAATTTTCTCCCCAAAATACATCCTGAAAGTGAAACAGAGAAGTCTGGAAACCATTCTCTAAGCAGAATGGTGCTCCCCTTGATACAAACCCTCTTTTTGGAGAATGCTTCCTCAGGATAAGGCCATTGCACAGTTGCTTGTTGCCCACAGGGTGCCTCCTTTTTCCAAAAGCAATTTGAGTTGGTGGTACAGTTAGGCAATCTAAGAACCTGGACTTAAAGGTGTTATGGCACTCTTTAGACTGCCATGTGCAATATCTCAGATGTGAAATGGAGAGGTGACATTTTTATTTTTCCCAGCCAAACTTCATTCCAGGCTTCACAAATGTATCTAAAATCCTGATTTGTTAGAATGTTTGTCAGTACAGATTAAACAAATGGAGCACTCTGAGCATGTGCAGGTTTTCCTTTTAAGCTCAGGGATAAAGATTATCGTATCATCTTTACCTGATTTTTTCAATTGGCTGCTGTTGCCCCTTCAGGATGCCTCTCCATCGGGCCCAGTTTAGCATCTGAAATGTTTTCAGCCATTCCCTCTGGATATAGTAATATGGTTATATAGGTCAGAACACCAAACAGACTAGAGATTGTATTTGTTATTTTTATTTATTTGATTATAAAACTGTACCTAATAATCCCAAACCAACTATTAAATAAAACAACTATTTTATGAGCCATTTCACCAGACATGAGCAGCAAGCACCTACAAGGTAGTGACCAGGAATGCCATTACATCTACTAAGGCATCTTTTTTCTCCAATGTCTACATTCAACCACTTGCTAACCCATTTTCAGGTACATTTAGTTTACTCTCTCCCTGCTCCAGCGAATTATACAGCAGTGCAGGCTTCTCTTCTGAGTATAGAAAATCTGTAACAAAGAAGTACAAGCTGAAAGTGAAAGATGGCAGCCCAAGATTGACAGAACAATGGTCTAGATGGAATAAACACATTCAAATCTCCAGGGCCCAATGAACTCGATCTCAGAGTCATATAAGAGCTAGCGGAGGAACTCTCAGAACTACTATTATCTTACATAAATCCTAGAAAACAGGAGAAGTGCCAGTTGACTGGAGAAGGGCTAAATTGTTCCCATATTCAAAAAAGTGAAAAAAAAGATTAACCTGGGAACTATAGACCAGTTAGTCTGACATCAATCCCTGGAAAAATTCTGGAGTAAATTATTAAAAAATCAGTCTGTAAGCACCTCAACAAAAATGCAGTGCTTAATAGAAGCCAACACAGATTTATCAAAAATAAATCCTGCCAGGCTAATTTAATCTCTTTTTTGACTGGGTAAGTTTTCAAATGGACAGAGAGAACACTGTGGACAACTTCTACCTTGATGTAGCAAAGCTTTTGACATAGTGCCCCATGACATCCTGATAAGCAAATTAACAAAAAGTGGACTAGACAGAAGAACTAGGTGGATCCAAAATTGGTTGCTACATTGGACACAAAGAGTGCTCATCAATGCCATCTTCTCAAACTGAAGAAAAGTAACTAGTCGGGTGCTGCAGGGTTCAGTCCTAGGGCCAGTGCTCTTCAATATCTTTATTAATGATTTAGTTAAGGAAGTACAAGGAGCAATAATTAGATATGCAGATAATACAAAATTGGGTAGAAGAATGAACACTCTAGAAGACAGAATGATGATCTAGGGCAATCTTGATAAACTTGACTGCTGGGCTGAAAGCAACAGAATGAGATTCAATAAAGACAAATGCCAAGTCCTCCACCTAGGAAAAAGAAACTAAATGCATTGATACAAGACGGGGAATATGTGACTCAACAGAACTGAAAAGGAAAAAGACCTTGGAGTTATTGTGGGCAACAGATTAAATGTGAGCCAACAATGTACTGCAGCTGCAAAAAGGGCAAATGCTATTTTGGGATGCATTATATTTCTTCCAAATCACATAATAGTTCCCCTATGCTCTTCACTAGTCAGAATACTGTGTCCAGTCCTGGGCACCAAGATTTAAGAAAGATGCAGAAAAATTAGAAAGGGTCCAGAGGAAGGCAACAAAAATGACCCAGGGTTTGGAAACACTGCCCTATGAGGAGAGACTGAGAGAACTGGGCATGTTCAGCCTTGAGAAGAGAAAGCTGAGGGGGACCAAGATATCCTTCTATAAGTACCTCAAAGGCTGTCACAAAGAAGGTCAAGATCTCTTCTCACTGATACCAGAGTGTAGGACCTGAAATAATCGACTCAAGCTGTGGCAACCCAGGTTCAGCCCAGATATCAGGAAAAGTTTCCACACTGTCAGAGCAATACGAAAGTGGAACCAGTTTGCTAGAGAGGTCATGGGCTCTCCCACAGTAGAGACATTCAAAAAGAAACTGGACAGCCATCTAAGCGGGATGGTGTAAATTAGTGACATGCAACAGCAGGGAGTTTGACCTGATGGCCTTCTTAGCCCTTCCAACTCTACTATTCTATTATTCTAAGGTTCAATAAATAGTTGTTTTTCATAAAGAAGCATCTTCACTGGGAGCATGGCTGGGGGAGCAAAGGCTTCAGTTCTCCCCCCTCCCCCCATGGTCTTGATGCTGTTTAGGACACCTCTAGCTATTCTCTCCCCCCCACACCCCACTGCCTGCCTTAATTACATTAATGAAATTAATGTCCTCTCTGATTTCTCACCTCATGTAAAGGAAATGCTGTTTCAAAGACTTTCTTCTTTATCAGTTCATCAAGCTTCTCTAATAGCAGAGAAGAAAGAAGACAGAAAGGAATAGTTCTTCCAACATACTTCTGAACCTATCAATCAAGTACACACATGTAACAATGGCAAAATGGTGTTTAAGTTTTATAGCCATCTTGTGAGATAGGTTAGCTCACCAGTGCAAATAAAACCATCAGTACAAAACAGAAAAGATCCATTTCAGCACATAAGCGATAACGAAGTACTGAAAGCAGCAAAAAAATGGTTCTTAAAATCCTGGGAAAATAAGAGTCTATCAGCCCTAATGTAAGTGTTAGGCAAGTCTCTTTAGGAAGACATTTCATAAAGAAGGTGCTACCACTGAAAAGGCCCTTGACCTTATAACCACCAACTTAACCTCATTTGGCATGAGCACCTGGAGGAAGGCCTCAGATAATGCTTTTAACATACGGGTTAGGTAGAAGGCAAATATGGGCAGAGACATTTCTTCAGATAAGCTGGTCCCAAGCTATTCACAATGTTAAAGGTTAAGACTTTGATCATGTTATATAAACAAAGAGAAACATCTTTCCATACCCTTCGTACTACAGATTTCTGTGTTCTGCAAGATAAAGCTCACAAGACGTATCCTAAAAACACAAAATCAGCAAAATCACAATGTCAAGGTAAATTCTTGAATGGGTAGGGAAAAAATGTAGCTATCATAATCCATGCTGAGAAAAGATTTTTACCTGGTAAAAAGTGGTTAAACGTTTACATCTTTTTTTCTTTACAAGGTTACAACCCTAACTTCTCTTACCCATGCAAGGCAAAGAGAAATAAGAATATCCTGGATAGAATGAGAATTAACTTGCTCCACACTAAAGCTGTTATCATGGGGCAACAGCTTACCTAGGATTGGAGCCATGTGAAAGACTGTAAGAATGAGGCCCTACAGACATCTTCTCTAAATTCTCACTTTCATATTATTTAAAAGAGGAAGTGTCCAGTTCTTTTTGCTATAGAAAAATAAAGAAAAACATGTTGCTCAGCAGGAAGCAAGTTTCCAGTGTTTGGGTTACCAAAGCCAAAGGCACTGCATTGAATGACAAAGAACTCTGCAACTATTGTGTAATTTTTTAAATAATTAAATAGGCTTGAACAGACTGACAAGTTATGAGGTGTTTGCTGTTTTACTATGACTTATAAAGCCACACCTAGAGTATGCTATACCTCTTGTCCTCTTCCGTAAGATTTTGAGAAAAAGCCTACAGCTTGGACAGTATTTTCTATCTATACTGTTCAAACCATTTTCTTCTTTTAGTATTTACCTTTGTGTGGAGAAAATCATTTTAATTATATGGTGGGCAGCTCTACTTTGATGATAAAGTGCATAATGGCAGTTACCACATAGAGCTATTTAGAAAGGAAATTTAGAAGGGAAAGACTGACAAGTATGGGATAGTGTGGCAGGAGAAATACTTTTTTTAACTTTACCTTGTTCTGGAACTGGTCATTTCCTGGTCATCCAGTTGCTGACCACACAGTAATTCACAATGATTCTCAGAATTTCTCAGAAGCCACTGGTATTTTCGAAAGAATGCACTTGGGGCGTGAATTCCATAAAATAGCTTTTTGTCCTTAATCATCTAAGAATCAGAAAGAACAGAGTAAAGGGAATAATCATGCATGGATTGAGAAAGGGCTTAGATAGACTTCTTCCTGTTGCTTCAGTAATGACACAAGATCTTGTAGACTATTAGTGGCTAATTTATCAACAAACCTGATTGACAATCCTGTATTTAACACTGGCAAACATAAATACAGGATTGTATTCTGAGGTTCACGGGTGACCTCCAGACACTGGATCTGGTATTATCTCCATTTCTCAGTCTTCATGGGTTTCCCAGCAAAGGATTGCTGCAAAAGTGATATGACCAACATGCTCTTGCTCCTGGACAAAGGCCATGTTAGCTAGATATCAGGCTTTATTTAAGTTAAATAATATTAAACATCTCCTGCTGTCTATAAATGAACTACTTAAATCAGCTGCATCCTGGGAAGTGAGGAACTGCATGTGTCTTATAAATAAAGGCCCTCAAACGATCTGCTCTGTAGTTAAGGAGTAGCTCAAAAACCTGGAGTTAGCTTTGCTTGGAAGAATGGTACTCTTACCTTAATAATGAATCCTTTCCTGTGCAATTCTTCCAGAAACCATTTTTTCTTGAAGTGCTTCTCACTGTCAGGGCTGTGCTCATCACAAACAAGGACAAAATCCCATTTGGCTGGAAACTGAATTAAAAAAGCAACAAATTGAATCAACTAGCAGAATGTGACATAACCCCCCATACACACAGAAACGTATGCACTACGTATATACAATACATTCATTGTATGTATTGCACTTTTCTAACCCCTGCCCTTTACTTTTCATGTTAAGCATTCAACAGTTCTCCTGTACTACAGTCACACTCCTATCGCTCCCTTAATTTCTGCCATGGATAAGAGCTATACCAGCAGCATGTATCCTTGGTCCTGGTGGTGGAGATCACAGCAGCAGATCACAATGATTATTTTTATTGTATGTCAAATTCTTAAGCTCACCTCTTAAATGTAGTGTGATTCTGTTTGAATTTTAGATTGGAAAATAATAAACAAACAAACAAACAAAGCTATAGCAGCAAGAAGCTGTTATGCAGTCACTGCTACTGTATACCTGATTAGCAATCATCTAGAGTCACCCAACTATGAAAGTATATTTCTTTAAGATGAACTTCCAGAAATTCACATTTTTTGCAAATATATGTGCCTAATGTGTGTGACATGTTGACATTCTGAAAGGATTTGGATTTTTGAAAAATGTAATGGCACTTTTAATGATTTAATGTAATGGCTAGTCCCTTCAACACAGTAAAAAGATCAAATTGCTGGTTCCTGTATCTGAGTTTTGTTCTTTGATGCTTTGCTTTTTGTTTTTGATGTATGCTTGATGAACAGATATATTTTCAGTTTTTTGTTAGTTTCATGTAATAAGTCTGATTTATTTTTCAGGGCTTCCCTTGTTCAACTCCATAAACACTTTTTAGGTTCCTCCTCCATTGCTTTGGGCATTTGTCTACCTTTTTTGAACAGGTGTAAAATATATATGCGCAATCATAGTCCTCTCATTTACCCTCAATGTATCACATAAAAGCATATGTCTGGTTACTTACTCTCTATATAATAATACAAATAGTTTTTTCTTCAGTCTATCTTAGAAATTTTCTCCTATTTACCTTTGCATCTATATACACTTTGCTTTGAGCTATTTTTTCCTGGCCTCTTAAAGCAAAAATTAACTTGAAAGTTTCTCCTCACTTCCTAGTGAATTTGCAGTTTGTACCAGTTTTGGTTATGAAAACAAATTTGTTGGAACTGCTAATAGATTTCTCCTACTCCTGTATTTATACAATATTTCTTTTTTTCTTTACCATTTGGCTCTATGTGATATTTTATTCTGTTGGCAATTTTAAAATACCTTTTTGGTATCTTTTAGAACAGTGATGGTGAACCTTTTAGAGACTGAGTGCCCAAACTGATGTTGTGAGCCGCCCCGAGGCTCATTGCGATGGGGCGGCATAGAAATTTTTTAAATAAATAAATAAGCCCAAAACCCACTTATTTATTGCGAAGTGCCAACACAGCAGTAAAACCTGAAAACTGAGGTTTTAGTTTACAAAAAACAACTCACAGCCAGTCCAAGCAAACACACACACACACACTTGGCAGCACACTGACTGGCCATGTGAAAGCTCGGATGAATCACAGTTAATGAGCAGTGGCTTGTGACATCATCGTCTGGCGCCACTACTCCTTTCCGAGCATGCTTGTGGCCCCTATGTGCGCTGTTATCTGATGCTTGGCTGCTGGGGCAATGCTGGGGTGACTTGGCTCACGTGCCAACAGAGAGGGCTCTGCGTGCCCGCTGTGGCACGTGTGCCATAGGTTTGCCACCACTGTTTTAGAACATCCAAGTGCTTCCCCTGCCCTGCATTTGCTTTTGCCCTTTAGGTTTTTACTGAACAATTATTATAATTTGAATGCGAGTGCAGAGGCTTATATAGCTAGAACAGCACCAAACACAAGCAAGAGATAGTTATCAGCAGGCTTGATGGAACCTTCAGGTTTGCAGTTTTAGATAGTAAGAATAACTCCACATGTTTTCAGGCATGGTGATAGAGAATATCCAGTTCATCCCCTTGGTATCCTGTAACTTGGGTCAGTTCTATTTTCCTTCTCCTTCCTCCTACCAAAAAGCAAGCACCATGTACTTCATAAAAGAGACAAGTCACCATCTCATGTTTTGCCTACTTGCAAGCACACATCCAGCTGTAGGGGGCTTGTGGTTAAACCATGTTAGTCTCCTCCCAACAAGTTTTATGAAAGGAGTAGTAACAGAAGAGGTTTTTTTTTTTTAAACCAAACTGTCTCTAGCCTCGGTTCCTTGCTTCTGAAACTAGTTCTTGTACCACTGTGCTCTCTTTGTATAAATCAGCTCTGCTGTTAGTCACACCAGACTATCCAACATGCAGAAGTATACAAAATTTTGCAGGAACCCCTGCCCCTAAGGTAAGTGGGTGGGGGATGCCAGAAACAGTACTGTTCTGTGAGTTCAGGGATCATGGAGCATTAACTGATGGAGGACCCTCCCCTACAAAAAAGCCAGATGGCAGGAGGAAATTAAATCCATGACCCTAGCAAAGGATATAGTTGACTCACTGAGGCAGTGAACAGAAATACTCAGCACAGCAACATCTTATCACAGGTCCACTTGTTAATGTCTTGTAACCAAACTTAAGTTGAGCGTACCCTTTTCTGATTAGGTGGGCCACTGCCAGTGTTTGGGATGAGGCTTTTTTAAAACTTTTTAAAGCATTTTCCTTTCATTAAGTTTATTAGATGACACTACATACTCACTTAGAAGTCCTAAGAAATTAAATGGCACTTACTCTCGAATAAGTGTGCATGCTAGAATAAGATTGTAGGCCAAAAGTTTTGATCAGTTCTTTCCTTCAGTGTAGGTTCTGTTATCAACAGTTTTCTCTTCTGGTGATGTCTGTGTTTGCACTTGTATTTGTATATGTGATTTCTCCTTAATATTTGTTTTCAAAATTGGAACATTTCATCTGTGCTTCTAACTCCCAGTGTTTTAGTTATTCCTCTTTCTTCTTTTCTCAGTTGTACAATATTTTCATCTTTATTTGCTTTATAAAAGATCTTTTTTTTTCCTCCCTTTCCCTTCATTTTTTTCATGCCAAGCTGCTAGAAAAGGTAGCTGGTATGCCAGACATTTCCTTTCTAATCTTTCAGTATTAGTATTATTCACAGTATCGCTGTTGTATCAGCTTAATACAATCTTCATCTTAGAAAGCCTGCATCAGAACTGTCAATACACATGAACTTGAACAAAATGCAGAAGAGATTGCTCTAGTACTATTTTTAAATGGAACTATTTTTGAATAATACACATAAAGTTGTAGAATGTGACATAAAGTATATTAAAATGGGAAAGTCAGCATCTTATAACTTTATTAAAGTACAAAATGGATTTCCAGCAAGCCAGAAAAGGAAATACCAACTCAATTTATGATAGAATCTAAATGAGGAAAAAGAATCCCCTAGCAATATGTCATAAATGTGTAAAAAATGGTCACATACAGCTGAGAACCATACTTGAGAAGTAAAACTTAAAACTGCTGTATCTTGTCAGTTTTTTAAAACAAAACAAAATTCTGACCATCATATAGCTGTTGCCACATAGATACTCTTAGCAAAATTTAATAAAGTGGACACAAAGTTTTAATTTTATAACCATCAGAATTCAGGACTATCATCTACTACAGCCATTGTGTTAGAGATCTCAGAATGCTGCAGCACTGGAGCCTACTGCTGACAAATAATTAGAAAACTTACAAACAGTAATAGCCTAAAGTCACCAAGGAGTTTTTAGAATTCTGATAGCACTTTCCTCAAGCTGTAAGTGTTGTATCTTGACAACATTTATCACTGCTCAAGGAAATAAACAGTGCTTGTTGATCAGGCATTTTGTCAAAGGGTATGAGGACAGCTGAAATGGTCTTTCAAGAACTATTTTGACACTTTGAAAATCATCCTATGGGCCTTCAATATTGCCCAGGAGGACACAGGATAGTTTGGATTCCAGCTCTTAAGTCAGAGACAGTGCTTCTACCTTAGAGATGGGAGTCAAAACTCCAAACTCCCCTTCCACACCCTTGCAGCCACCTCACCAGGTGCTCTCTGGGGTCGGGAAAGTGTTCTCAGAGAGGGGTGAAAAAATGAGGTTTGCAGGGTCAGGAGGTGAGGAAACTGGAGTCGCCAGGAGTAGGAAGGTAAAGATTGCTTCTGCTTTTCTTGCATTGCATTGGATACCTGTAAGTGCAGGGCCTCATAAGCATCCCTACAGGACAGAACTCTTTGAGAGTTTTGTACTGTGATTATCATTTTGAGATTAATTGCTGACATTATGAATAATGTAGCTTTAAGGCTGCAATCTTGCAGCCATTTTCCTAGGAATGTCTCATTGAACTGAATGGAGTGCACGCTAAGCAAACTTTTGGAACAGATCTATGTTCCTCACAAGAAATAGGTTTCTTTCTTACACAGTGGAAAGGCACGTTCAGTGGGATTTTGTTGAATTTGCTCTTCATCCTCTGTTTATTTGAGAAGTCTATCATGGACTTTATTCAGGAACCAGTGGGATTCCCTGAGTGTAGAAAGGAACTGAAACATGTCTTCATCAAAGTGATACAAAAGGATACAACTATTTTTCTGAATGCCATTGAGCTCTACCAATGTTAACAAAACTACAAAATAGTATTTTGGAAAAGAAAAGTAATTGTAATAAAATTAGAACAGGATGACTCTGGCTTTAATATATAGACCTAGTATCATCTTGTTCTCCTACATAATCCCTGAACAATGGAGAACATGGAAACTCCATTTTATTGCAGTATTAAAATGCTACCATTTTTGCTGCCTTTGGGTGCAGCGACTATAAACCCATTTTCAAAACATGAGCAGACTTGCAAAAAGCACATCCTGGTATGACAACCACAATATAGGCTGACATATAGTTTTGGTTCCCATATCAATTGAAAGAATAAAAAGCAATGAAAAATTCAACAACACTGAAAAGAAATTAATAAGGAGCAGGGGCATGGCAAAAATGCAACACTCATGATAACTGCTGTAACATTAGCTTGCACTAAAATTAATTTTTACATGGAGAATATCTTAAAAAGACATGTCATAGAATCAGTGAGCCACACAAGGAATGTACTGATGCAAAAAAAAAAACAAAATAAGCCAAAATTGGTATAGCTTAAAGGGCACAACACCATTCCAGAATTACTACAAACCTGCCTTTTCCACCTGGGGTCATCTCAGTGAGTTTGACTGCAACTCCCAGTCAGCCATGCAAGGTGGATTCATAGTCCTGTAGCTAGTTTAGTGATTTGCTACTTTAGTGATTCCATGAGTTGTAGGCCAACACACTGAGAGGGCACCAGTTTGGGGAAAGCTGCTACAAACCAATGGCATAGCTCAAGAAAGTGGTATTGTGGCTATTAATATGAATACAGCACAAGAATCTGGAAAACTTGCACATTGGGAGTTATGAAGAGGGAGGTTCATTGGAGAATTTTCTTTGGCTCTCCAGTCAAAGATACTACACACATGAAACAACATAATGTAAGGAGTTATGAAGTACAATTGCCATTAGACATGAAGATGAAGCTTGAGAGAGAAGAATTTCTGGCTGCCTCAAGCAATGGGAATCATGAGTTCTGAAAGCAGTGGCACCTACTTCATGAAGGAGGAGCCACTGTCATTCAAATTTCAGGTGATGCTGATGTTTAGAGTGCTGTGGAATTCTGAGTTCTCTAAAACAATTGTTGTAGCAGAGATAATGCCTGAACATTCTAAACATGATGGAATCAAGATGATCCACTGCGACTTTATGCAAGTTAGTAGTTTAAACTTCAGGTTAAGCAGATCTCAAGTCTGTCCAGGCCCTACATGGAAGACTGCTTAGAAGAAAGAGCAGGACATATGCACCATGCAGTTATCAACATTCTGCAAAGCTATCACTGCAATCCTAGTTTAACTTAGCAGAAACATTAAGATGACATTTTAAATATGCAGAATGTCTTGAAAAATAACTGTGTTCAGAGGCAAGGTATTTACCTAACAATCTCTGTACTAGCAGCTCACACAGACCTAAGTCTAACTTATGCATCTTCATGTCTACTACATGTTTCATTACTTTGACTTTCACTCCACATCCTACTGTATCCATGTCTTGGAATAAATTCACTACCACAGAACAAGAATATGCTCACAGGCTTAATTGGGTCATGTATATATGCAGACAATAAATTTGCATTAGCCAACCCAATAAATTACTTCGGTCTATATAAACCCCTATATGTGTTAAGATCTTCACCACAGGCCTTGCACTGTAAAATGACAGAAATAAAATATTCAATACAGGAGTAATATTTAGAATTAGAGAGAGTATCAGACCTATGTTTGATATAAAACTATAGTAATCATAGTCCTGACTTTAAGAAACTTCAACTCAAAATATAAGGTACATAACTTACTGTGATCAGAGATTCACCATTTTCTAAGGGGGGTAATGTCATTAGTGCAATTTCATCCTAGAAAAAGAGATTTAAAGAGTCAAATACAGCTTTTCTTTTATGACAACAAATTCAATTCCACATACCAAATTTTGTATAGACATTTTTATAACCTCCCAGTCACATACAGAGTATTAGGTTTCCAGATAATGTTAACATAATAGCATTCTGATGTTTTCATACCCAAAACAATACTCTAAACGGGATCAGAAATGCCAGTGACAATAGGATAGAAAATTTCCCTGCTTGAGCCTGATTGACAAGTCAATTCAGTGAATTCCTGACAGTTTGGATAAGCCTGTGTCTGCTTAAACATGCAAATGTGTCTGATTACGAAACCATACAGGAAAACTGGTTTGACAACTACCGTGTTTCCCTATCCCAAAAATAAGACCTAGTACTATTTTGGTTTGATTTTGAGCTATTCAAAATCTTAAAAGATGATGTAGTAAAAATAATACACTCAATATGCCAGCAAATTTGGAAAACTCAACAGTGGCCACAGGATTGGAAAAGGTCAGTTTATATTCCAATCCCAAAAAAGGGCAATGCCAAAGAATGTTCAAACTACCGCACCATTGCACTCATTTCACATGCTAGCAAAGTTATGCTCAAAATCCTACAAGCTAGGCTCCAGCAGTATATGGATCGAGAACTACCAGAAGTACAGGCAGGATGTCGAAGAGGGAGAGGAACTAGAGATCAAATTGCCAACATACGCTGGATCATGGAGAAAGCTAGGGAGTTCCAGAAAAACATCTATTTCTGCTTCATTGACTATGCTAAAGCCTTTGATTGTGTGGATCACAACAAATTGTGGCAAGTTCTTAAAGAGATGGGAGTACCTGACCATCTTATTTGTCTCTTGAGAAACCTATATGCGGGTCAAGAAGCAACAGTGAGAACTGGACACAGAACCACTGATTGGTTCGAAATTGAGAAAGGAGTTTGGAAAGCCTGTATACTGTCGCCCTACCTATTTAACTTATATGCAGAGCACATCATGAGAAAGGTGGGCCTAGATGAATCACCAGCTGGAATTAAGATTGCTGGGAGAAATATCAGCAACCTCAGATATGCAGATGATACCACTCTCATGGCAGAAGAGGAACTAAGGAGCCTCTTGATGTGGGTGAAGGAGGAGAGTGCAAAAGTTGGCTTGAAACTCAACATTAAGAAAACTAAGATCATGGCATCCGGTCCTCTCACTTCCTGGAAAACAGATGGGGAAGAAATGGAGGTAGCGACAGATTTTATTTTCCTGGGCTCCAAGATCACTGGAGATGGGGACTGCAGCCAAGAAATTAAAAGTCGCTTGCTCCTGGGGAGGAAAGCTATGGCAAATCTAGATAGCATACTAAAAAGCAGAGACATCACCCTGCAACAAAAGTGCATATAGTCAAGGCTATGGTTTTTCCAGTTGCAACATATGGCTGTGAAAGTTGGACCATAAGGAAGGTTGAGCACTGAAGAATTGAGGCCTTTGAATTGTGGTGCTGGAGGAGACTCCTGTGAGTCCCTTGGACAGCAAGGCAATCAAGCTGGTCAGTCCTAGAGATCAACCCTGACTGCTCTTTAGAAGGCCAGACACTGAAGATGAAACTCAAATACTTTGGCCACCTAATGAGAAGGAAGGACTCCCTGGAGAAGAGTCTAATGCTGAGAACAATAGATGGCAAAAGAAGAAGGGGACGGCAGAGAATGAGGTGACTAGATGAAGTCACTGAAGCAGTTGGTGTGAGCTTGAGTGGACTCCGGGGGATGGTGGAGGACAGGAAGGCCCGGAGGAATGTTGTCCATGGGGTCGCGATGGGTCAGACATGACTTTGCAACTAACAACAACAACAACAACAACAACAACAATTATTTTTGGTACTTGCTAAAATATAAGACCTACCCCAAAAATAAGACCTAGCTGTGTTTATTCCCAGGGCCAGTGGGGAACATAAAGAACCTTTTTAAACTTAACTTTAACTTAATGCACTGTGTGGAGGAAACATGCATATGCAGCTCTGCTCCCTCTGCTCTCTGCGGAGGGAGCAGAGCCGCATACGCCGATGCTTCCTCTATAGCGCTGGCTCCTATCACAGACAGATTGATACCAAATGTACTTTGCCTGTGACAGGAGCCAGCTTATGTGGCTCTGCTCCCTCTGTGGTACTGTGAGCTAATAGAGTGTTGCATGGGATGTGGCAGTTAGCAAATGATGATTACTGATGATTAACAAAACCCTTTCTCCTTACTGATGATTAATAAAAAACTTTTCAGTCAGCACCTGGCACCTGCCCACAGGAGTTGGCGCTATAGAGAAGCCAGGCAGCGGAGGAAGCAGAACCGCATAAACCGATGCTTCCTCTATAGCACTGGCTTCTGTCACAGGCGGTGTGATACCAAATGCACTCTGCCTGTGATGAGTTGAAGCGAAAGTGTGCTTTGCTCATTCTGGCCAGCGATTGGTTACCAAATTGCTCTTGGGAAGGTACAGCACCCCTGATTGCCCTGATCACCCTATTCTTACCTTTGCCATTCACTCCTGTCTTGTAAGTCTTCTACCCGTACAGTATTAGGGTATTATGGTATGGTACCATATTTAATGGTAGACTTAAACAGAATATTATTTTGACCCCCAGACAAGTGCAAAAAGAAAGAGCTATTCCGTCAAGTACAAGAAAAGAATCATAGAGGACTCATGCGGCAAGAATCTTAGAGCTTACTGCAAAGAGAAGTTGGATCTCCGAATGGTCTGAAAATGGTGAGCAGATTACCGTGTTTCTCTGAAAATAAGACCTACCCCGAAAATAAGACGTAGTGTGTTTTTGTGAGCCAAAAAAAAAATAAAAAATAAAATAAGACAGTGTCTTATTTTCAGGGAAACACGGTATACTGCTCAGGCGCTTGCCTCTGTGGAACTAGATGATTAAATGGGTTCATTCAGAAACAAATGAATGTCTTTGTCTCATCTGTAGCTAATGGGACCACCAGTAGTATTAGCCTACATAAGCTTCTCAGACCAGGTAAGAATTCCATTTTTTTAAAGGAACAGCAATGCTAAATAGTAACCTGGCTTGGAATTTTGCTGCTTACTGAGAAAGGGGTGCAGGTTTGATTTTGTAACACAAAGGCACATATAAGGAACCTTTTTCTACCAGGATTTATCTGAATTTTCCCAACAACATCCATAACAAGATTCATCTTTCAAAATGTAGACAATAGGCCACTTTTAAAAGAAGATGTCAGTGAAAACATTGAGAATTCTAATATGAAAATTGGCTCAAGCAAAACAAGAAGCTGGCTAGAGAAAGAAAATAGTTCCTGACCCCCAGAATGTAGAAGGTAATTTGAAAGAACCTGATGTGCACAGTCACTTCACGTTTGTAAAATTTCAAACAATTTGGCCAAAGGCAACAACAGAATGCAGAGAGATGTATGCATGTGCACAACAGGAAGTGCAGACTTTTCCAAATCAGTTTCTGTTTTCTTCTGCCTCAGTTATTGTTTCTGTAAAGATAAAGCGAGAAACCAATGTGTCAAAGTAAACTTCTCAGAGAAAGAAAACCAGAAACAAAGAAGAAAAAGAGGGATTTTGATTGTAGCAACTGTAGTCTCACTGCTAACACATTTAGGTATGATAGGAGTTTTCAGGATCTGAACTAAATTGGGTACAGAGTCACAGAGTAATACAGTTAAACATTAACCAAGTAGAGGCAGAGATGCCATTGCACTCACTATCATGCATATATTATCAGATTAACCAAGTTCTATAAAAATATTTTTATTCAGGGAAGCATAGATGCAACCAGTTTCACAGATTTGCCTTTATGGCATATTTCCTGTGGATGAAGGCCAAATCCTGCTCCTGTTTCAGCATTATAACATGCACACAGATGGAAGTGTTGTAGTAACTACCCGTAAACAATTAAAGCTATAAAGCTATAATTAAAAACAGAAGTTAAGGCTAATTAAGCATAGCAGGGGTCATAGTTGGCTTCAAATAACAAAGAACCTAAGAAGTACCTTGCAGGATCATACCAAAAGCCCATCTAATACAGAGTTTTGCTTTGAACAGGAGACATTCAAAGTATACCCACATAAAACTTTACTGCCTGGAGAAAAACTAACAGAAGACTGGGGGAGGAAGCTGTGATGGAAGCAAACGAGAAGCTGAAGGCTAATTTACAAGGAAAGCTGCTACATCCAAACAACTCTTTCTGTGGTACAATACCCATTATCAATACCAATTTAAGCAGCCTTTGTAGCAGCCATTTCTGTGCTATGGCCCTTAGAAGAATTTCCTAATACTACCTTGCATCAGTAGAGTCTGCAGATTCCCACTTCCCTGAGCAGCAGGAAATTCCAAGACTGATTTGCAAGGCCACTTTCCTTTTAAGAAGGGCAAAAAACTTGTTTCTTTTATGAGATGCTGTAAGTGTTTTTATGTCAAGCCATATGCATTTATATCCTTTTAATACCTCCTAACACCAAACCATCTTAATTTTTATATGTGCAATATAATTATGTATAAGCCAGACCCTCTACACTCATATTTTAATCTTGAAATATAAAGATAAAGCTCGAAACACAGTACACTTAAAAGAAAACCCCTAGGCTTACTTAGTCTATTGCACTTAGACACTGTCTGGCTGGGCGAAGGAAAACCTGGAGTCCTAGTTCCAGTCTCAGGAATGTACCCAAAGCTGGGACTCTGAATTCTGAACACCTTTCCCTGTCCTCACAAGCACACAGTTCTTTCCATGCCAGCAGTGGCTCCAATGTTGTTAGACTGACCCTAAGGTCAACTGCACAGGATGGGCTTTCCAGATGGTGTGAAGGGGAAGAGTGAGGCTCTGGAGGGATGGGGCAGGTCTCAGCCTGTTGGGCAGGTGCAAAAGACTTAAATGGTCCAAATCAGACATCGTAATGACAGACAAGCAAAGGTGATCCTTACCTCTGCACTTCTCCTGCCTTCAACAGGATGTCTGTATTCCTCAGTGCTTGGAGGGTTACAGGCATTCCCAGTG